TCAGATTCAGAGTTATTACTTTTAGAAAAATATGGCCGTGTTGCTTAAGGTTTCTGTGTTATTTCGTTTTATTACTTTTGCATGCTTGTTGTGAATGGCTCATTAAGACGGTGTTTAGAGCGGTGTGTACGCGTTAGCTTCAAGTGGTAGCTTTAACTTGTAGCAACGAATATTTACAAGCTGTCTTAATTGAGGATGGCTTGGAAATCCATGAAAACTTAAACAAAGTACATAGTATTGTTTTATTTGTGTCTTAAGTACGACTTTGTCTTTTATAGCAGTCATAGTTTCTGAAAGTGGAAAAAAGAGCCGCATTTGGGTATACAGTTGTGACGTCAGCGCGGCAGGTGCAAAGAGCCCATTGCTGTTCGTTTAAACAGTCGTAACTCGCGGTGCGGTGAGTAATTTATTCCTTCCTGCTGGTTCTGGAAGCCGTCATGTTTGGAACAGTTATTCTGAGGAGGATGCTAACCCAATGCCTGAGGCCTGCAACGTTTTTAATGCTAACGAAGCGTTTACTAATTCAATAAACTGAATAGTGTGTTTGATACATCCAGTTTCATACATTCAGAGTTATTTGTTATTATGTATAGAAGATGTTTAAAATGTTGTTTGAAAGAGTTCGGAGAAAATGCTAAGTATCTTTTACCGATCCATTGGGGTTGTAATATTTAGTTGCAGCACTTCCTGTGATTAATACCTAATTAATGGGTGGGATTGAGCCTGTGCTATTGTTCTAATGTGCTGAAAGTTAACTGTGCTCTCTTAATGTGCATTGCCATTGGTTTATTACTGAACAGTGCGGTTTATTAAACTGATACATCTTAACCTTCACCATTTTCCTGACTCATTTCACGATAACGTCAAAGTTGCACTGCATTTAGATCTCAGTTGTAGTTAACATCAAGCATGTGGGTGTGGCTTAGTGTAAAACTTTCACTATTTACCATGAAACATCAACATTAAATGACTTCCAAATGCAAGATCACAGCTGCATCATCACACTTCCTCTGTCTTTCTAGAGAACAGCCCTGAACACATTTCCATGGTCACTTGATGACCTCACTGTAGCCCCGCCCACTTTTAAGAGGCAGTCATGTTTTTTCTGCTGTATGTTTTACTGTTATTCTATAATTTATATGGGTTTCATCATGTGAATACTGACTAAAAACGATAACATGATTAACTCTATGAATGCTGGCTGCTGACCGAACCGCAATGGGGTGTAGAAATGACGAACTGCAGTTCTTCGCCACGTACATATGATCGGCTCTAAATGACACGTGGATCATCGGACTGGCGCCAAATTGGATACGTATGACCTTTGTTGACCTCTAAAGAGCAAACAGCATTGAAATGTATTTTGACTCCATTGCGCACCTACATTAATCCGCCAGCTATATATCCTCGCTAAACCAATGAATCTATACCACATTTTTTTGCATCGTGAAGGATAGCCGCAGAACGCATCAATGCGTACTGCCTGGTGGACGGGCGCGGAAACTGCGCAACAACTTCTGTCTTAGCACGTGCGCAGCGTTGATGGAAACTGAGCAACAGCTTCCGCGGTGTGGGCGGAGGCGCTGAAAACTGCATGAGAGCTTCTGTGTGGCTGGCGTGAGGCGGCGGTTGCTCGTACCCCGCGGTGGCAATAGGCCGGAGCGGCGCTTGGCTGCGAGGGCCGTTCGAGGCTGCTTGCAGCTTTAATTATTATTATTATTTTTCTTCCCACCTCTTTGGGGGGCTTTTTGGGGGCCTTATCATATTGGAAAACTCACCAAACTTGGCGGAGGCCTTAAGCCTGTTTAAAAATTTTGATTTTAAGGTCATCACAAAAATCCCACAAGAAATGGCTCAATAGCGCCACCTAGAAATTTTCAAAGGACCCTTTGCTATTCACTTACTTTATCCTAGAGACATGAAATTTGGTACACTTGTAGAGCTCACCAGGACGCTCAAAATTTACAATTAATGTCATAGTGCAAGTATCACAGGAAGTCGGCCATTTTGGATTGAAGGTCCAATTTTGAGGCCATTTTTGCCGTTTACAGCCTTCGTATTTGATCGAACTCCTCCTAGGGATTTCGATTGATGGGCTTCAAACTCGGTCAGTCTGTTCATAAGGCATGTCCCATCTAAAGTTATCAAAACTGTGAGTTTTTGAGTATGCTGAAGGGGGGTTAGCAGGGGTCAAAGTTCACCTACTCGCCATAAAAAAAATAAACTGCTATATCTCCTACACAGAAACTCACAGAGGAACCAGAGTTACTGTGATTAATCATCATTGGCTGCCCTACAATACCCTATGGTCGAATGATGACATCACTTAGACCACGCCCCCTGAGAACAGGAAGTGTCATGTTTTACTGAGAATGGTCGCTATCTGACCCCTTTGACCTCATCAACATGAAACTGTGCCCAGACACAGAGAACATGTTGGTGTGTTGAGGATTCCAACCCCGACCAGCTTTGATGGAGCAGGTGGGCGTGGCGGCGTGGCGAAGTGACCTGTAACGCCATCGCCATACGTTTGACTCTCAATTCCACATTTTCAGGCCCAGCTGCTCCAAACTCACAAGGATGGTCCCTGATCTACTCCCCTACAGGAATCCATCACAATGTTTGGTGGGCGTGGCCTAATTTCTCTATAGCGCCCCCTAGAAAACTTTAAATGATCAGCCCCAAGCCATGCTTTAACCTACAATTACGAAACGTTGTACACATGTGTACCTTGTCAGGACTTACAAAAAGTCTCTTGGAGCCATGGTCGAAACCCCACAGGAAGACGGCCATTTTAGATTGAAGTTCAGATTTTGACCCCATTTTTGCCGTTTACAGCCTTCCTATTTGATCAAACTCCTCCTAGGGATTTCGATTGATCGGCTTCAAACTCGGTCAGTCCGTTAATAAGGCATGTCCCATCTGAAGTTATCAAAACGGTGAGTTTTTGAGAATGCTGAAAGGGGGTTAGCAGGGGTCAAAGTTCACCTACACGCCATAAAAACATAAACTGCTATATCTCCTACACAGAAACTCACAGAGGCACCAAAGTTTCTGTGATTGATCATCATCGGTGTCCTACAATACCCTATGGTCGAAGGATGACATCACTTAGGCCACGCCCCCTGAGAAAAGGAAGTGTCATGTTTTACTGTCAATGGTCGCTATCTGACCCCTTTGACCTCATCAACATGAAACTGTGCCCAGACACAGAAGACATGTTGGTGTATTGAGGATTCTAATCCCTACCAGCTACGATGGAGCAGGTGGACGTGGCGGCGTGGCGAAGTCACCTGTAACGCCATTGCCATACGTTTGGCTCTCAATTCCACATTTTTGGGCGCAGCTGCTCCAAACTCACAAGGATGGATCTTCATCCACTCCCCAACAGGAATCCATCACAATATTTGTAGGGTGTGGCCTAATTTCTCTATAGCGCCCCCTAGAAAATTCTAAATGATGATCAGCCCCAAGCCATGCTTTAACCTACAATTACGAAACTTTGTACACATGTGTACCATGTCAGGACTTACAAAAAAGTCTCTTGGAGCCATGGTCTAAACCCCAGAGGAAGTCGGCCATTTTTGATTGAAGTTCAGATTTTCATCCCATTTTTGCAGTTTATAAACCATTTCGGTAATTTGCCACTTGGGGTCAGTATTGCTCCACAAATGAAACAGCAGATAAACAGGATGAAGAACAATATCAGTATTTCGCCAGTAGGTGTCAGTGTTCCTCCACCAATGAGAAACAGATCCACGGGCGGATGGGCGTGAAAATTTGTAAGAGCGTTGCCATGAAATTTCTAAAAGGATAGAAATGTCTCAGATAATTTTTGTTGAATTAAATCATGCAGTAAATGTAGCGTTTTCTTACTTCTTACAAACCATTTCAGTAATTCGCCACTCTGAGTAAGTTACTCTAACAATGAAATAGAGTGCTTTAGAAACACAGCTGAAGATGATGAAAAATGACGAACAGTAGTACTTCGCCATGTGCATATGATCGGCTGTAAATGACACGTGGATCATCCGACTGACGCCAAATTGGATACGTATGACCTTTGTTGACCTCTAAAGAGAACAACAGCATTGAAATATATTTTGACTCCACTGCGCGTCCTACATTAATCCGCCAGCTATATTTCCTCGCTAAACCAATGAATCTGCACCACATTTTTTGCATCGTCAAGGAGCGCCTCCGAACGCATCAGTGCGTACCGCCTGGTGGACGGGCGCGGAAACTGTGCAACAACTTCTGTGTTAGCACGTGGCCAGCGTTGATGGAAACTGAGCAACAGCTTCCGCGGTGCGGGCGGAGGAGCTGAAAACTGCGTGAGAGCTTCTGTGGTGGCTGACGTGAGGCGACGGTTGCTAGTACCCCGCGGTGGCAATAGGCCGGAGCGGCGCTTGGCTGCGAGGGCCGTTCGAGGCTGCTTGCAGCTTTAATTTTAGTTATGTTTTCAACTGAGTTACTCTTGTTTTCAACATGATTGAAAACAAACATGCATTTTCAGTTTTTAGCCAATGGGACCATTGCCTTTCCATGAATTCATGTCCTTCACCACATACGCTAGACAAAGTGCTTTTTGGAGAAATTGTTTAAGAAAATTATGCATTTTAATTCTGTGTAATGGCAGATATTCTTGTTCTACTAGCTCTTTGCATTCTGTTTGCTTCTCTGGGAGCTGTTATGTTGTCCTCTCCCTTTCACATGTATTATTCATGGATGCTAAGGTGTTAATATAATCTATAGCGAACTTCTGATAAATGAACAAATACCTTTACATGACATTACAAAGGTTTATTCCAAAGTTTCGCAGTAAACAGCAATCAGATGAAGGGTTCAAACTTGAAATTACATCAAGCCACAAGTAAACCAATTGTTGGTTTTAACCCTGCAGAGCAAAACTTTTAACGTACATCAAAATTACATTGACAAATACTTGCTTTTAGTTTTAATCTGATAGAAAAAAATGTGTTAATCAGTGAGGCTTTTACCAGGTTGAGGATGTTGTTCAATCGTTCCAGTTCACAGTCAATGATGATATGAAAGTCCTCCTTGTAGTCAAGATCGGCCAGGAGTTTGATGAAGGTCTTTTCTGTCATGGTGTCCAAGTTAGCGGAAGTAACCTGCCAACTGCGCTCTGCTGCTGTATCAAGGATCCTCTGCAGCACTGTCAGACCTGAAAAAGACTAAATTAATCAATTCACCTGCAAATAGTAAAAGGGTTCAAAGAACTTTACATGCAGAATAGATTTCTTGACTGAAACTTGGTGCCTTATAATGTATGCTATAAAAAACAAACATTTAAAATGATTCCCCTCTTTATATCATCAGTCTCTCAAATTACTTGTGGTGTGTCCCACAAATCAGCCTCTGGTCTTCTGATCCTCTGGTATCTGCAAATTCCTCATTGGTCTGTTTGTTTCAGAATGACATAATTTCTTTGCAAATGATATTCAACTGTCTCTCGAAGAAGCATCAGGAGGTTCTCTAGAAAACCAACAAATCCAAGAATCTTGCTTTCCAACTGTGTGTAACATCCATCCTCCATCCATCCATCCATCCATCATCCATCCATCCATCCATCCATCCATCCATCCATCCATCCATCCATCCATCCATCATCCATCCATCCATCCATCCATCCATCCATCATCCATCCATCCATCCATCCATCCATCCATCCATCCACCATCCTATATCCAGCTGTCAACAGGCGAGAGGTGGGGGTCACCCTGGACTGGTTGCCAGTCCATCGCAGTGTGTGTAACCTTAATGTAATTTAAACTTTCTAATTTAGTTTGAACCTGCAATTTTTAGCTCAGTCTCATAAGCTCCAGTCTTAGTGTTAATTATCTCATCTGCCAGAGCCATTATTGAAATGGTAAATCAAAGTTATTGCTCAGTCATGTTCATTTTATTATGTTCATTGAGAAAAGTCCTTCAAACCAAGGTCACCTGTGATAACTTCGGTTTATTTTTTCATTTACATTCCATGTGCATCCTTGTTTAGTTTAGTATTGTTTTTGATCTGTTATTGTTAGCTTGCTTGGGTTCTGTTTTTGTTATTTATGGAAACATTGTTTTCATTATCTATAAAAAGTGCTTTTTACATAAAGGCTGGTTTATGTTGGTTGATTTTCTTTTTGAATATTCTCAGGTTGGGAATCTTAATACACAGCGTAAAACAACCCAAGTAGTACTTCAGAGTAAAAACATTCATCATGAAATGTATTAAATTAATTATGAGCATTTGACTTCAAAGATTTACTGACTTTTGGATTCACAGATTTCAGTTTTTCATATTGTTATATAATCACATTCTTTTGCTTTGATGTGGATCTGAAGAATTTAAGTAAAAACTGTTCTGATAACATTCCTCCATCCATCTATTTTCTTCTGCTTATCCCAGAAAGACTCACAGGGCTTGAAGTTCCAGGAAGAAAAATATGACATTTTCTTTTTAGTGACATTCTCCAACTCATTTGGCAGATCCCAAGGTATTGCACAACAAAGTCCCTCCACTGGGTTTTGGGTTTAGCTCCTGGTCTCCCAGTGGAACATGCCTGGATTATCATCAAGAAAGAAATCCAGAACAAACATATTTTTGAATTACATGCCAGCAGGGTGGAAGGTGAGGGCATGTTTAATTTCTTCATCAGAATCTTTCTTTAGTTTAATCAACTTGCAAAAAATGAATATTAAAGACTTGATGAAAAATCTTTAATAAATGAAAAGTTTACAAATCGCCAGTCCTTTTTATGGTGTTGGTTTTTATAACTTGTTAGTTCTGAGTTGTACAGGTGTTATATTTTGATGGTCTTCATTTGTAACCATGTTGGCAGCTCTCACCCTTATATGTTTATTCACATATCATAGAGTTTTTAAATGTGAAGCTGAGTAGGGAATGTCTCATTAAACCGAATGCTGAGCAATTCCTCCTCCATTTTTAAAAAGGGAGACCAACTTGTGATATTTGCCGTGTGCCTCAGGCTGCAGCTGACCCTGAATGAAATTCTCGAAGGCAGCGTCTTCACACTAAAGGGCAGCAGACGTGCTTTGTTTTCATTCGGGAAGTCAGCTCTTACTGAGAAATATAAATAAATGAGAATTGTCAAATAAGTTCTGTCAGTCCAAGTTTTTCAACTTTTCTGCTTCCTCATCTGATCAATGAAGGAAAAAAAAACAAACATTCACTTGAACACATTTAGAGTATCAGCAGCAATGGAGGCTTCTCTCAAATTAATTTAAGGCCGTGTAGGGTATATTAAAATCTTTAGTTTTTCTGTTTTAATATAACAAATAAGATGAAAATCAAGAAAATCTTGTGCAAAAAATAAGAGATGCAAGTAAGCAGGTGGACAAGCTCATCAACAACGTGACACAAGGAGTAAAGTTGGACATTAAATCGATGTATAAGTAACTGCATAAATTTATACCAAAAACACAAAGTAAAAAAGAAAATAAATTTAAACAATAGTGTGAAAGCTAGACACACCAGCCTTCACTCTTGTTAAGGGATTATTTGGAAACAGATATCCACAGCTCCATCCAGTATCAGCTCATTAGTTGTTTTACACTTGAATAACAACAGAACATTTTAATATTGACCACAGTAAGTAGAAAACTGATAATTTTTTTATCAAACTGATCAGACTGTGGAGAAAAATATTAGTGACGTCAGACAAGGATGATATTGCCAAGAGAGACATCTGGGTCTCTCATTAGGCTACAACAGGTCACAGGATCCAGATATGTCTAGCAGTTGGAGACGCTGGCTGCAACAATAAAAACATTCCTCAGACATTTATGTCTGCTGCTCCTGTTCTCACTAAAACCAGGAAGATAGAGACATAACAAGCAGTTTTAAAGTCCCTCCACTGGCTCCCTGTAGCTCAAAGAATAGACTTTAAAATACTGTTGTTAGTTTATAAATCACTGAACGGTTTAGCACCACAATACATCAAAGATCTGCTGTTGTTGTATCAACCTTCCAGACTCTCAGGTTCTGGTTCTGGTTCTGCTCTGCATCCCCAGAACCAGAACCAAGAGAGGAGAAGCAGCTTTCAGCATCTATGCACCAAAAATTTGGAACAAACTTCCAGAAAACTGAAAACAGCAGAAACCCTGACTTCCTTTAAATCTCAACTAAAAACACACCTGTTTAGAATTGTATTTGAAATGTAATATGTAACAATGTATTGTTGATTCTATGATGCATGACTTTGTGTTTATGATGTAAAGCACTTTGAAATGTCTTGCTGCTGAAATGCGCTATACAAATAACATTTGATTGATTGATTGATTGATTATGGAAACACAATCTGTTTCTGCTCATACTATCAAACCCAGTCAATCACAACTTCTCTCTTTTCTTCTGTATACAAACACGGCTACAAACAGAATGTTACAGAATAGATGGCAGATCAAAATCTGACATAAATCTGATATTAAAATGACAAACCATTGCAGTAAAGAATCAGATACTGGATCCCAGGGTGTACAACATAGATTGTTAGATACATTCTGCTCAAGTACACAAGTAAATAAGGTTTAATAGATAGTGTCGGTATGACTGTAACAATCAACACAACAATTTGTAACATTGTTAACATCTTCCTTATGAGCTAATTTATCATTTACTTAAAAAAAATATTTAATATGAGTCACAATTTTCTTTGAGGTTTTCCCTAATTTCTCATGGCTGCTAAGCTCAATATGAAACAGTGGAAGATGAAGATAATTCAGCTGTCCATTATTATGAGTCGTTGCTCCCAATCAAATGAGTGCTTGTTTTTTTTTGGCATTGGTCACTTTAGGTTTGTCATTAACTAAACCTTGTTATGTTCTAAGTTCATAAAAAAAATCTAACACCAATTGTTCTATTGGTGTTAGATTTTGTCAGAACATCAAAAATGGGGTTAAAATGGGAACATCAATCCAAAATGGCCGACTTCCGGTGATACTTGAACTATGACATTAATTGTGAATTCTGAGCATCTTGGGGAGCTCTACAAGTGTACCAAATTTCATGTCTCTACGATGAAGTAAGGGAATAGCAAAGGGTCCTTTGAAAATTTCTAGGTGGCGCTATTGAGCCATTTCTTTTGCGATTTGTGCAAAATTTGTAAACACGCTTAAGGCCTTCGCCAAATTTGATGAGTTTTTGAATATGATAAAGCCCTCAAAAAGCTCCCTCTATTGGATGAAAGAATAATAAACAGTATTAAAACAAAAGGCCTTCGCAGCACTTTGCTGCAAAGGCCTAATAGCAGCAAAAACTATTTAAAAAATGATTTAGAATCCTTTTTTTTCATATTTCAGTTTTCTCTATGTCTTTCAACAACTTCATTCAAAACTTGACTCAAATTGCTTCAACTTCCCCCTTTCCTCTGGACAGATTACTGTATAAATCTAATAATCATATTGGCTCACACTCAAAATTAAAGTTATTACCTCTTTCTTCACTTTGTGATACTGATGATATTCTTTGGAACGTACACAAGATTGGTTTGGTAAAATTGTTGCACAATAGATTGAAAAACTAGACCAGGTAATTGTTTAAGTAAAATTAAAGATAGTTTTTGATGAAATTTGCTGAAAAATTGAATTCCTCTTAAAATCAAAGATTTTTAACCAGTAATGAAACTTTCTGCAGTTATCTTTCAGCACCACATAGCTTTGCATTAAGATACACTTTTGGAAAAATCAAGCTATGCTAAATGACAACATAATGCTTTGAACTAAAAGCTTCATCATCAAGTGTTCTGACACCAAGAATTTACAAACTGAGTGGAATGATTAGAGTTTCAAAGGCGGGGAACGAGGGGGACCGTCCCTTCTCCCCCACAAGGCAGCTACTCATTACTGTCCAGAAAGTGACTACTGAGGCTTCTTCCTGCCTGCCAACTGTTAATGATAATGCACAACATTCAATTAGAGACAGCAAAGCAAGAACACTACAGTGACAGTGCATCAGCCACCCGGACCAAGACGACAGAGCATAAAAATAAACACAGCACTCAGAATAAAGAAACTTTAAAAAGGAGCTCGGTCCCTGGCAGCCGCAGCCATCATCGCAAAAGTCCAGGGCAGAGCATCTGACCAACCTACAATGGAACCTTTCGATACAGGTGCAAAAAACCGCAAAAGATGCCAAGTCTGTTCCTCCAAAGATGA